GATGCAAGAAGAAATTGAAGCCCTTAAAAAATAATACATGGGACCTTGTACCACTACAACAAGGAAGAAAGCCAATTGGTAACAAATGGGTCTTCAAAATCAAGCGAAATGGTGACGATCAAGTGGAAAGGTATCGTGCAAGACTGGTGGTCAAATGATATGCTCAAAAAGAAGGTATTTATTTCAATGAAATCTTTTCTCCTGTGGTTCGGCTAAAATATTTCGAGTAGTATTGGCAATGTGTGCTACATTGAACTTACAACTAGAGCAGTTAGATGTTAAAACATCTTTTCTTCATGGAAATCTTAAAGAAGAGATTTACATGCTCCAGCCTGAAGGTTTTGAAGAAGACGAAAAGAAGAACTTGGTTTGCAGGTTGAACAAATCTCTGTACGATCTAAAGCAGGTGTCGAGGTGTTGGTATAAGAGATTTGATTCTTTTATTATGTGCCTTGGATATAACAGACTTAATGCAGACCCTTGTGCTTATTTCAAGAGGTTTGGTGATAACGATTTTGTTATATTGTTGTTGTATATGGATGAAATGTTGGTTGTAGGACCCGAAAAAAGATTATATTAAAGAATTGAAGGCACAACTGGCTAGGGAATTTGAAATGAAGGACTTGGGATCAACAAACAAGATTCTAGGGATGCAAATACACCGAGACAAAAGTAATAGGAAGATTTGGCTTTCACAAAAGAATTACTTAAAGAAGATCTTTTCACGATTCAACATGCAAGATTGTAAGTCAATTTCTACCCCTCTTCCTATTAACCTCAAATTATCTTCAAGTATGAGTCCTAGCAGTGAATAAGAGAGGATGGAGATGTCTCGAGTGTCGTATGCATCGGCAGTGGGAAGCTTAATTTTCGCTATGATATGCACAAGACCAGACATTGCACAAGCAGTGGGAGTGGTTAGTCAGTACATAGAGAATCCAGGAAAAGAGCATTGGAATACAGTAAAGAGGATCATGAGATACATCAAAGGAACCTTAAATGTTGCATTATGTTACTGAAGATCAAACTTACTTATCAATGGGTATATTAATTCTGACTATGCAGGGGATTTGGATAAAAGCAAATCTACTACAAGATATATGTTCAAAGTTACTGGTGGAGCTGTAAGCTGCATTTCAAAATTGCAGTCAGTTGTGGCTATATCCATAACAGAGGCATAATATGTAGCAGCTTCACAAGCCAATAAAGAAGCAATTTGGTTGAAGATGCAAAATCAAGAGTATGTCTCTTTGTTTTGTGACGGTCAAAGCGCCTTGCATCTAGCAAGGAATCTAACATTTCATTCAAGAACAAAGCACATACGGGTTCAGTACCACTTCATTCGTGAAAATGTGGAAGAATGGACGGTAGATATGCAGAAAATACATACCAAATACAACATAGCAAATTTCATGACGAAGGCGATCAATGCTGATAAATTTACTTGGTGTCGATCCTCTTATGGCCTATCAGAAATGTAAGCAACATGAAGGTACAAGGTAGAAAGAATGATGTGAAGATATGATTATTCCAATCAAATCTTCAAGTGAGAGATTGTTGAAATTCAAGCATTTTGGTGCATTAAATACACCAAATTAATTAGTCAAATTTGGACGGTTGGGCTGCAGATTTTTTTTGAAAAAGTGGACGAGATAATTACAATTTAGTCCCTATACTTTAGGATATTTACAAGATTAGTCCTTAAGCTTCAACTATAAATACTCTATCCCATTTAGCTTCTAAACTATTCCAAATCATTCTAGCTTTCTCCCAATACTAGAGAATTTAGAGAGTTTTCTTGAGAGTTGTTTTTCTCCTTTTTATCAAGAGATAATTGTCATTGTTTTCTCCTTATTAGATCGAGAGAAGTTGTAATTCCTATTTTATCATAGTAAAATTCTTCTACCGTTACTTGTGGTTTTTACCCTATATTATTTAGGGGTTTTCCACGTAAATTTTGTGTCTTCTTTATCTTCATTTTTTATTTTATCAAATTATCAGTTGCGATTTTTCTCTATCCGATAGTCGTATTCCGCAACAACTCGTTGTCATCTTGTAACAGACCTTCGATTACCTCTGTAGTTGCCGTTTGCATCGCGAGCTGAAAACTGTTTGATTTTCATATTTTCAACACAGATATGAAGAACTAGAGGCAAATCAAAAGCATATATTAAAGTTCTAGTTGAAGAGGTCAAGTCTCTCAGGAAATCTTGAAGAAAAAAAAGAAAACTGAAGTAGCAGGAGGTTGGTTAATCACTATTAGAAAAATCAGAAGATGAGGTAACCGTCTGTACTTAAGTATTTGTTGGTCGTTAAGTTTCTTCTTTAGGCATTCAACCAGAATAATATATGTTGAAAAATTTCATCTTCATTAAGTATTCTAGAGCTATTAGGCGTAGTCAGAGCAAATCATTGCTCCAAGTGAGATGTAATCTTCTGGATTTGTAGGCACAACTAGAACATGAAAGACAAGTAATTAAGCATGTAAGAATTGCAAGAGAAAAACTGCTCAATGGTTGCCGACTTGTTGAATGCAGTGTGAATTTTTCTACAGATAAAGATTTAATCAAAGATCATTCCTCCGTTGAAGAACATTTAATTTGTAAACTACTTGTGATGATTAAATCGCTCTTCTACTTGTTGAAGTGCCTTACCTTTTTGGCTATTCAATATTGTTAAACTAAAAGTGCTTTGATGCTTTTTTAATATTTATTGAGAGATATTTAAATAGAAAATAAAAGTTAGTTTTAACTAATTTTATTCCTAGTTAATATTCTTTAATGTTGACTGGAACATACAGATTTTCTCTACAATTTTTATATTAAACCTTTTAAAAATAGTACTATGATTGAATATATTTTAAAATGATTATTTTTAATTTAAGAATTAATAATGATAACTTTTAAAATCTTTGTCTAAACCTGAATTAGACTAAGCTGGGCCCGAAGAAAAGGTAAACTGGATGAGCTTGAGTGTCGCTTTCATAGGTTCTCTGCCCAGCCCGCCATATCTACCAGTTCCTCTGTAAAGGAAAAACAGAGAGCTTAGAAGAATCTTAAGCCTTTTTAATCTCTGTTTTTATTTGATTTGTTGTAAGCTTTCAGAAAATGAATAGTCAATGATTGTTCCGAATTCTGATCAAACTTTACTCTCCATTTTCATGGCTGCTTCAAGTCTTTCACTTGAGCCAAGCCAAGAAGCGTTTTCATGGCTGAAGTCATTGCCTTTAGCTCCAGAGTACAGGCCTACTTTAGCATCCAATTGCCGCGGTTGCTTTTGAGGAGGTCTTCAGGGTTGATGGCTATGCAGGAGAGTTCAATCCTCTTGGTTAGTCTATTCAAACTTTGCTACTGGATGACACTTTCCTTGACTTTGCATTAGTAGAGCCCATAAGTGAGATATCATTGCTGGTAAGCTATTCTGCTTTTAGAAAAAACAAACAAACAAATTCAACTTGGCGGTCATTGTCGAGTCAAGTGTATTGAAACTGCGCTCGAACTTGAGTACAAATTCCCAAGCTTGAGGTCAAGCATGAGGTTTGAGTTTACTTTTTACCGGTAATCGAGAGCGGTTTGACTTTTTATCTTGATTCAAACTTTAAAAGTGAAACTTCGTCCGAGCCCTGGACTAGTGAACTATTATTTTGTCTCCTCTGTTTCTTTGTTAGCTAATGAAGTCCATGTGAAATACTTTCAATTAACGAATTTTCGGTTTTACTTGCCATTTTGGATCCATTCAATTTATTCCATCAAGTTTCTATGCTTTGATGTTATTTTGGTTAAACTGGAAAAATGATTCGAGCTCTCAAATTTAAGTATTGATTATATAACTTTTTCCTGTTTTAGTTACCTTTTCTACACTTGGTGCGGTTATGTCTCCCAAGTATTTGTTCATCCTGGAATTCCATGCTGCAGGTGATTTTTGTCCTCCATGCTTTGTAGCAATTTTATTTATATAGTTTTTTTTACAAAATTAAAAATATTACAAATTGTAAAATATTTATATATTTTCTTTAAAAAATTAAATTCATAATATTTATATAAAATGTTTTTACAAAATTTAAAATATAAAAAAAGTTTAATGAAAGGATAAAAAAAATTTTAACCCCTGAACTTCATATAAAATTTTAATTATAGATTTTTTTTTTGTAAATCTAAAATAATTTAAAGATAAATTTGTAATTTAACCTTCATATAATTTTTATTATTCAATGACAGAAGAATGATATTTTTGAAAAAAAATAAAACTTTAAGGGCATTTTAGTCCAAAAAGCCGATAATATTACAATACCTAAGGGAAGAAAGGTAATGACATTCCCGGTAATATACCCAAAAAATCTTCTATTAGTAATAAAACATTACCGGGAATGAGATTCCCGGCCAACCAAACATGGGAATGTGGGATTACCTTGAACCAAATACCCCCTTATAGTATCATTATTCTGAAATCAGGTTAGCGCAAAATGCTGGGGAGTTTGTTGTCACTTTCCCAAGAGCCAGGGTTCAGTCATGGTGAACCTGTAAAATTAGCATTTATGATGAACCTGTTGTTTGATCGGTAGGGTAAGGGTTACGTTGAATAAAGAAAGGTTAGGATTAGTCCCATTGTTTGCATTCTGAAAACTGTTAGTTATGTATTATCATGGGATTTCATTATGCCCATTCATTCACTTGCAATCAGAGCAATCTGCAAAACTGAGATACTCCCTCCTTACTCATCCTTTTATTTTGCCTAGTTTGGTCAAAAACAGGAATCATGAATCCCAACTTCGAATACGTGGATAAATCTGTAAGATCTAATGAGTTAACAAGGATATTATTATTATTTTAGTAATATAGTAATAATAATTTACATTCCACCACCAACTGGTTTTGATTGAGCCTATGACTCAACCATAGCACATATAAACAACACTGTAAGGTTGGGAAAGGAAAAAGAAAAAAGAAACCCGTGATAAATGAGGATTTTAACTCTCCATTACACTGATCCAGGCATATATTAATAGCCAAATTGTCATCATCACGGTATAGCCTTAAACTCCAACACAGCAAAACCATTTACTCTGAAAGAAATAAAAAGAATATATAATTAAAGGGTTGAAAGAACAAGTATAATTGACTCATTTCTCTATGTATATGTGTATATAGTACCTTTGGAGTAGGAGGAGATGGGGGAAGGTCAGTCTTTTTAGAGGAAGCAGTAGACATAGCATTAACACCTTTGCCTCTGGTTTTCTTCTCATCTCTGGCGTTGTTGAATATTACTGTGAATCCTTCAGCTGTGGCTGGATTGTTTACATCCCACTCTCCAAATTTAGGCAATGGTTTCCCCCTTTGCTGCTGAAAAGAACCAATCAAATTCAACCTTAATCATTCATCTAGATTCGAGTGACTATCAAGTACGGATTATTAGAAGATCATATAAAGCTGTTGCAACTAAAGCCATGATTGAAAACAGAAATGGTTGTCCCCTGAATCTCACAATATGCTAGAGGTCATTGATTCCAAGTCCCTTCGCTCTCTTCAGAAGAGAGGGCATAAATCTTCGGCAATCATTTTTAAACGTAAACAATATCAGAAAAAGACGACGATATATTTACGTTATCAACACCATACTCTTAACACTTGTCGAATTGCATTGTTTCATGAATAAAATACCCAGATAATATATCTATAAGAGAGAGCGCGCGTGCACACACACGATGTTAAAACAACATGAAATCACCCTCTAAAAGAACACCAAAAAACCCAATCTTTCTTTTCAAGCAAATTGAACTTACAACTTTCCTACAGAATTGCTTCATTTCAATTGTTACATTTATGAATATAAAGAGGAATGGGAAATTACCGCCATGACTGGAAGACGTCGCAATGGAAAGAAAAATGGAGATTTGGAGATGCGGAGAGAGGGGGAAAAACAGAGAATTTGTGAGGATGAGATGAAAACAAATCAAAATGAAAAGTGGGGTTAAATAAAAGAGATTAAAGAGGAATGTTTGTTACTTTTGTCTGTTCATAAATCAACTTTAACCACAAATTTGTTAATAGCGGCCGAGGATCAGTTTAACGAACAAATTCAAATTTGGATAATTTAATTTGATATTTTGATTTTAATGTACTTAATTTATAAACAAACAAATTCTATTTTTTTTAAAAAATCTGTTATTTTGATTTTTAAATTTAAACACTATTTAATCTTACTCAAGAAGAGTGAGGTTGAAATAACCAATTCAATCAAACAAATTAATTTTAGCTCGATTAGCTCAAATTCTCACTTGTATTTAGATCAATCTACAAATTTACATCTCGAACATGTTGGATGTTACTTCTTAAAGATAGCTGCATGAACCAACCGAGCAAAACTAAGTCCATTACTCTTGTTATAGTCTTCCTAGCCATGCTAATGTTTGAATGCTTAGCCAGATTTTAAGGTTGGCCGAGAACTATCAGAAAACTTCATATTTGCAACCTATATTTATGTTCTGAGGAGTAATAACACCAAATGCATCAGATATCAAATCGTTTGATAATAGAAAACTGTCCGGTTCATGAGCCGAATATAAGCTAATCCTCATCCGATATCATCTTCATATTGTATTCATCTGCAGCTATACAACTCTTCTCTGCTCATTTAAGCAAAGAAGCTTTCAACTAAGCATCACAAAGAAAAGCTACAACTGAGTTCCCGCGTGCACATCAAAAAGTCTTCAACGAGCCCCATTGCAGTTGCATGAGAGAACATCACAACATCTGAAGCAAGTATTCGGTTTTTATTAGTGTTCCCAGTGTAATAAACCGTTCATAAGTTTAGATTGTAACCCTTCTATCTTGTAGCAATAACCCACATGCAACCCTTACCATAAAAAAGTTGACATTCGAAACCCATACCCCAAATGCAATAGATATTAATTTGTTCGATAATAGAAAGCCATCCGGATCACAAAGATGAATATAAGCTAATCCTTGTCCCATATCATCTTCATTCAACAAGGCACTGTATTCATCTGCAGTTGCAATTTTTCTTTGCTCATCCAAGCAAAGCACATGCCCACTTTCAACATATGGCTTATAAGCCTCCCAAAGAGAAGCTACAACCAATTTTCCAAATGCACATCGGAAAGACTTCAAATTGAGCCCTCTTGCAGTTCTATGAGAGAGCATCACAAGCCAAGTCTCTGGTGTCTGTATCAGTATTCCCAGTGTAATTGACCCTGCCATTCTCCAAGCACCGTACAAAATCGATGTACCCTCCCAATTTCTTCGGTCTTGAAAACCTCGTTCCCCATACATAACTAGCAGACCCCAGGCCAAAGCCATAAAATGGTTTGTTTTTCCAGTATGTAAAATTGTGCTTACATTCGAACCCGTATTGGCAATAACTGCTGATCTCATAATGGTTATAACCGACATCCGAAAGCATTCTCGACGCCATTCTGTAAAAGTCGGCAGACTGCACATCTGAAGGTGAAGGAAACTCCCCTGGTGTGTACCTACAAGGATTCAAACATTCACTTTTCAGTTCATGATAAAACCAAAAGACTACTCCAAGTCTTTATTTTTATTAAAATATCCGCATTCAACACAAATATTAAAATATATGCTCCAAAATCAAACATTTCTATACACATACACCTGAGTACGAGTATCATAGTAATGCTTACAATGTTCCAAATTTGATGCCTTGTTCAAGTTGCAAATCACAAACGGAGACATGCTTCAGCCGAGCTTCAATGGTTAACCGCAAGCTTTCCTCCCACATTCGCAGAGTTTGATTAGGAAGAGGAGAGATGAGATCCAAACTCCAATTTTCAAACCTACAAGATTCCACCATCTCAATGGCCTTGTAAACTTAATTAATGCCATCTGCTCTCTCACAAGCCTTTAACAACTCTTCTTGAAACGCTTGAACTCCCAACGACACTCTGTTCACTCCCAGCTCCATCAACTCCTCCATTTTCCTAACGTCAAAGGTTCCAGGATCCATTTCCATTGATATCTCGGCATTCGAAGTCATCCCAAATTTTACTCTCAGCAAATCAAGAATCGACAAAACAAGCCTCGGTGGCACGAGAAACGGTGTTCCTACAACGAAAAAGACGGTTTCAAGTGATGGGTGGGACTAGTTGAAATTTACTTAGGAAGCATTGATTTCCCGGACTAGTAATTGGATGTAATTTGATATATGGGGATCGTCGTCGTCGTTGTTGGTTTGTGTTGATGACTGAGAACCCAGGGCGACGATTGGGAAGTTGCAGTAGTGGCAGCGTTTTCGACAGAAAGGGAGGTGAATGTAAGCTGAAGTTGGAGCAAGTTTAGGGGTAGTGAAGAAGTCGGGTGAGACATTTTGTCGAACAGTTGGAGTGGGTTCAGATTACCGGAGATTGCGGCACCAAAAGAGTCTGGATAATTGGGTTTGGCTGGAAAAGTGGAGAAGATTTGGTGTAAGGGCTTGATTTGAGCATTACTTTACTTGATGAACAACGATAGGTTATCATTACTTGATGAACAACGATAGGTTATCATTACTTGATGAACAACGATAGGTTATCATTCCTTGATGAACAACGATAAATTATCACGTGAGGGAGTGAGGATGAATATGATGACCCGCGTGAGATGCTCCAAGGGAATACGGACCGGGCCGATAGTGGTGTTATGACTTTTGAATACAATCCGTCCTAATTTTAAGTAATTAATAAATTTACTTTTTTTATTTAGATATCTTTATAAGCTAAATGAAGAAATTGTTAGAGATCATTTTTTACAATCTAATATCAATTAAAACTAAATGATATTTTTTATTATAAAATTTGTTAATAAATAATGATTATTTATGATTTGATGATCGTCATGTAATTATTTGTAGAAAAATATCTATTGAATCAAATAAAATAATCTATTTTTTTTATCAAAGCTATAATTTGGAAGGTATGCATTAAGAAAAAATATATTAGATTTTCAAAGAGAGTTCTTCGTATCAATATTCTAAATTGGGCGACGTGTGAGAGACCCAAATTCACTGTCGTTCGAGATCGACCTCCCCGAAGAAGCTAGTGGGGTTATGGTTTGGGACTGAAACAAATTGTTCATTGTTGTTTGCTGCCGTCGTCATTTCTCCACTGTATTTCAGGTAATTTTTGTTTGCCGAAACTTAACCAAATCATTGCGATGGAGTAATATTTGTTGTTTGACCATGGGGTTTAGCTTGAATTGAGTAAGTTATTTGTTCGAATTGAATGGGTTTACTGGATTTGAGTGCGAAATAGGACTGTTGGTATTGCGTTAGAAGAACAATGCTTGATTTTACTGTTGGTTTCATATATTTTAGGGTCTCTAAGTGCTGGTCCATTTTTGTCAACAACATTAGTAAAAGGATTCCTCCGTCAAGCCTTAAAGGTGCATTTCAATCATATGGTGAAGTGATTGATGTGTTTATAGCCTACAGAAACAAAAAAAAAGAATATCAGCAGGTTCTACTTTTGCTTTTATTAGATTTAGAAACAAGTCTGGAGCGATCATAGCAGTTCGTAGGGCGTATGGTAGGGTAATGGACAGGTTTAGACTTAGAGTTTTTCATGACAGAACATCAGGGGATAAAACTAGGTAGACAGAGGTTGATAGATCGATTAATAAAGTTTGGAGGTCTTCTTTAAGGGATTTCATGTCTTATAGGGAAGCTCTTGGAAGAATGCAGGGAGCTATTGGAGGAGTGCAGGGAGATGAGGATAAATCAAAGGGGAATGGTGTCTTTAAACATACATATAAAGATAGTGCAGACATATAAAGATAGTGCATCAGAAAATGTTGTTCATGTTAATATTGCAGATGAGAGGCGTCCAAGCTCAAGTCCAACAGTAGGAGTTTTCTGTAGCAATATTTTCATCCCAAAGAAGGATTTATTGTGGAGAGAAAGATGTCTGGTAGGAAAAATAAAAAATATGTATAATGAAGATATAATCCTAATAGCCTTAACAACAGCAAGTTTTGATGTTAAGGTAAGTCTTTGGCAAGCTTTTTTGTGGTTATAGAATTCAAGAATGAAGAGCACCGAGAGGCATGCTGGTAATGAATTAGTCTGAGACTGGTTTGAGGAGTTAGAATTATTGGAAGGATATGACAGTAAGATCAAAACTAGAGTCTGGGTTACTCTGAAGGACGTTCCTCTCACAGTTTGGAGCGAAAAGTTTTTTTAAGGATTTAGGTTGTATGTGGGGTAAAGTTATTAAGATTGATGATGAAACGTCCAGTAGAAGCAAGTTTGATGCTGCAAGGTTCTTGCTAGAAGTCCAAAATGAATCTTCCATTCTAGAAAAAGTGTCTATCATTGTTAATGGAAGTGTCTACAAAATGCGAATTCAAATAGAAGTTCATGAAGAGGAAAGAGTCTTCATTGACGGCTCCTTGGCAGGTGGTGGAGCGTGGTATACAGGTGATGTAGAAGCGACGGGTGTTCCAATGGTAGAAGTGGACATTGCTGAAGGATGTTGTCCCGATAAAGACCAAAATGATGGAGTGCAACTTGAATTGTTGAGCCAGAGGTGTGACAATGACAGTGTAACATCGCCTGTCAGTTTGTTGCATGCAAACGAAATCGTGGGAAATTCTGAAGCTTTGGAGAGTGGGCTTTATGAAGTACCGATTATATCGTATGTTGGGCCGGGTAGTCAGCTGGTTGATGAAAGCTTTGGGCTGATGGAAATAAATAGAAATTTGGATCAATTCTGGGCAACCTAATCAATCTCCAATAGCTCTAGATTGTAGGAGGTACCAATTGAAGAGGATTATTTTGTCAAGGATATGGACGAGGTTTGCTCGGTTGAGATAAGAGGGGAGACGAAAGGCATGACTACAATTAAGAGTCAAGCAGTGATTAAATCAGCGGAGGAGAGCAATATCAAATAAGTGAAAAAAGGGGCGAGTATGGTGA